CCCCAAAACCCCAAAACCCCCCCATGTAATCTGTATATCAAATTTTTAGAATAATAATTTAATAAACATATTATATTAAATAATTTGCGGAAATTTGTAATGGGTTGGCCAACCATGATAGTCACTGCTGTGATTGTATATTATGTTGTTTTCAAATATCTTAGACAATTGCTCAAGTATAGATATTATTAAAGCTAGGGTGTTACTACTACCTATTTCCCAATGCCTATAGTTGGATCATTATTGAAATTCAGAGATTTAGTTTAAGATCCCAAATTCAAGAAGCTCCGTGAAAATGCAACTACTCATTATTTGAGATAAAGGTTTGGGTGAAGGCTTCCAAAACTAGTTCTAGACTTCAAGTAATAAAATGGAGTGATATACATAAATGATCCTGAATTAAGCTATCAGATACTCGTAGAAAAGGGGTAGTTTATAGATAGAGAATAGAAGTAGAGAAGCTAGTTTGAGCAATTGTTAGGGTAATCACTGTTGTAATTGAAAATAGGTACAAAATACTATGATAGAAAAAGAATGATTGTCGAAGCGATTCATTCGACCACTAAATAAGAGCTATTTTAGACAATAATTAGATAAATTCACTCTAGAGTATAAATTTGGAAGCAGTTTTATGTAGAACCAAAAAAGGATATGGAATTGAATAAGTAGATCATTGATTTAGTATCTCAGATAATTTAAATGACAGTATTTGGAACGCCGAATCTATAGAAAAAACTACCCTTTAAATCACCTGGCAAAGTTCATGAGCTTAAAATAGCTTAGTACATGAGAATAATAAGTAAATTACTTTATAAGAGGAGTATAAGATTTTCAAGAATGATTTCTAATACATTTGATTAAACCTTCTTCAAAGATGAGAGAGGGCTTAAGAGAAATATTACTAACTTTAGGAATAGGGTAATAGAAATGGTTAAAGAAAGAAAAATACTAATTAAAAATACAACTAAAGACTAAAATTAGAAGGAGAGCAAAAGTTCTAATTCTAAGGATATTGATTTTATGAGCTAACTGATAATGATAAAAGAACCAGATGAATTAAAAACAGAATAAATTGCAGATGAATGCATCGCATTTATGCATTAAAGCTAAGCTAATCTTTGCTAATTTATTCAGGACCTTTTTGAATAAATAATCACTAATGACTCAGTATACTGCAAATTAAAATCAGAGCTAGATAAGGTCTTTTAGCTTAATTTTCTAAGAGATTTGAATGCCAAATAAATGGATAAACTTATCACTATCAAAACACTTGGAGGGTTAAGTTATCTTGATAATGTGGTAAATGAAACTCTTAGAATGTTTCCACCACAACCTTTTACAAGTACATTTAGCTTTGTAAAGGATATCAAGATCAATGATAAGTTATGCATCAAGAAAGGGCAAGGTATGCAAGTGAACATCAAATATTTACATAATGAGCAAGCATATTGGAAAGACCCCCTATTCTTTAATCCAGATAGGTTTAACAAAGATAGCCCATAATTGACATTAATTTAGAATCAATAGTAAAATAAATCTATTAGCTTTTGCCCTTTTTCGTTTGGATAGAGATCCTGTCTCGGTCAAAGATATACTATTAATATTGCAAAGGCATTAGTTGTAGTGATTTTTAGCTTATTAGAATTTAAACTACTCGGAAGAAAGATCCTTCCTTATGATGAAAATGAGAGAGATGAAGTTAAAGATTATATTGAAAAATAAATGATTGTTGCAGTGTATAATATGTGATCTTTAATATATTAATTGGAAATGTTTTGATTATGATTTTTCTCGAGATTAATTCTTAATGGGGTTTTGGGGTTTTGGGG